GAGCTGTTGTTCACCATCTTAGCTATAGAGGGTGGTGTCACTGGCCCCCATGTGGGATCCGAACCGGGGCCCTGCTGCTCAGAGCTGGCATCCCAAGCCAGCTCTTAACCAACGCGCCACTCGGCTGGCCCACTTGTGACTTCTTTTACTTAGCATAATGATTTCAGGGTTCCTCAGTGTCATAGCATGATCAGTAGTTTATTCCTTCTTATTACCAAATGTTCCATGGATGGCTAGACCACATTTTGTCTATTCATTCATCAGCTGATGAACATTTTTGCTATAAGAGGCCAACTGAGGGACTTCAGGAAGATCCTGCAGGAATTCTGTAGGAATTCTTGCCTCTAGGTACAACCTTTGATTGTGTGTTGCCATCGAGTCAGTCTTCGTAGCCGAACTGGGAAGACACATTTGAGGCCCACCTTTTCCCCTCTTCTCTTCCCCAAGGCATCTATTCCTGTCAGGAGGCTCCTGTGAACATCTCCCACAAAAGCAAAAGTGATGCGTTCTTCCTTTCAGAGACATTTAAAAGAAACCCTCAAGAAAGGGCACTGCTTAACCTAAAGGACGAAGGTTGAATGGTGGAGTTTCTGACTTTGTAGCATTGATTGAGGGAGGGCTTTCATTCGCTGAGGAAGATGTGTGGTTAAAAGGAACATCCACATTAGACAGACTGCTGCTTCTGGGTGGGTCCATGAATAAGTGTGATGTGAACTTGACTGTCAAGCAAAGCGCAAGGGGTGTTGAGGGAGAACAGCTGGGAAAACGAAAGGGACTGGGTCTTACCCACCCAGCAGAGGGCACCTTTCTCAGTTCCTACTTCCTAAACCCAGGCTGTGTCACAGGCCACCCCAAGAAGTCTGGTTCCAGGGTATCCCCCATCCTGAGAATCATGAGCGAGCAGGAAGGTTTCTCTTCCAGGAGTGACCATCCCCCACCCAGCAAGCCGCTGTCCCCTTCCTCTGGGCAGGGAATGGCTCCCACGGAAAGCCTCGCACTCACCACCTTCTGCCTCCTTCCTCCTCCCAGGGAAATCCTATGGGGCCGACGACTTCCTGCCCGTGCTTATGTATGTGCTCGCCCGCAGCAACCTCACGGAGATGCTCCTCAACGTGGAATACATGATGGAACTCATGGACCCCGCCCTGCAGCTGGGGGAGGGTGAGTCACCGTCCCGGGCCCATCCCCGGGCCACGGGAGCCCATCATATACTGCCCCACCCAGCCAACCCAGGGGCTCGCTGGGCAGCCCAATGCGAACCTCCTGGATGCCAGACTCCACTGAGCCCTGGGGACACAACACAGGACCCGACATAGGCCCTGTCCTGGGGACGCTCACAGCCTAGCAGCAGATCTGGACCAGTAAAGACATCATGTCACCACTGCTTGACATGTGCTGAAATGGTGGGAAGCCCAGAGGGTAGGGGAGCATGTTACCCAGACTGGGCAGTCAGGGAAGGCTTCTGGAGGAGGTGATGCCTGAGCTGAGCATTAAAGGATGAATAGGAACCCATCAGATAAAGAAGGGGGAAAAGCATTCTTCACAGAGGGAATAGCAGCTGCTAGTAGCATAAAAGGTAAGGCTGAAGCAGCGGGCAGTGTCCACAGGGAGTCTGAGCAGGAAGTGATGGTCAGTTCTCAGGCAGGTTGGCCCTGAGGACTGTCAGCCCCCTGCTCATTCAGCCCTGGGCCAGGTCCCCTGTCAGTGGGGGGAGGTTAATGCTACGGGTAAGTGGCAGTGGTATGGTCTACTCCACCCACCCTTAGTTTCCCTTCCCCTTTTTTCCTTCCCACCTCTTCCTCCCACCCACTTAGCCTCAGCCATCCTGTCATCAAGAATCCCTGAGGCGCAATCAATCCAGGTGTTAGCTCTGAGGGTGCCCCTAATTGTCTTCTAAGACTTCAGCCTCAAAGGATGAAAGGAGATTCTCAGGCCCTGAGGGGCCCCTTTGGGCTTTGTGGTTCTTAAGATAAAGAGACACTCTGCATCTGTTTGCATTTTTAGCATGTAACATCAGTCTCTATGGTGACAGTTCTGTGAGTTCTTGAAAGCTCAGGGAACATGTAAAGCCATAAAGTTCACTGTCACATATAACTTTGGCTTGTTCCCTGGGATCTCTGGAGCTATAGTTTTCCCCCTCTGTAGTTAAAATTTTCCTGCAGTTGGAACAATCTGTCTTCTAGAGGGTGTAGGGATTCAGTAGACTCCAAGCTTTCTTCAGCAGTGATTATCAGCTGCCCACTCCATCCATCCATCCATCCATCCATCCACCCACCCACCATCCATCCAACTACCCATCCACCCACCCACTCATCTATCCATCCATCTATCCATCAATCCATCCATCCACCCATCCATCCACTCATCTATCCACCTGCCCATCCATCTACCCATCCACCCATCCATCCATCTTACCCACCCACCCATCCATCCATCCACCCACCCACCATCCATCCATCCACCCACCATTCCATCCATCTGCCCACCCACCATCCATCCATCTACCCATCCACCCACCCATACACCCACCCATCCACTCATCTATCCATCCATCATCCAT